GCATGTCTATAAATAATAACCAAGTATATGATTTGCAGGCTGCGATGCTGAACTGCATTGTGATGCAGCACTTCAGCAAGATACTGAGTTTACAGTGAAACAACATGCAATAAGAAGTCAGCAAAAATCTGCAAATCCAACAAGTGTTGATTACTGAAAAATCAACTGATGGTCGTTACAGCTCTAGTGCAGATACTAACCTTAAGTAAACTGGGTAACTGTTACAACGTCCAACATCCACCACTCACCAACCTCTTGGTCACTGCATAAAAACGGTTTCTGCTACCAGTTACATTCATACAGTCATGGTGTCATACTGTGAAGTTCCTGGTGTGATATAACCTTAGATAAAAATATTGCTAATAAAAGGTACAAGATTTTAAATTTGGGGCATAAGCAGAGAACTGAACAAAATGTTTGACTGCCTCCTTATTTTCAGGTTTGATAAAGTAATCTGCAAACCCTCCGAGCACTGATGCAGACTAGTCTTTTAATATATTATTAAGGTCAGGCTTTGAAAGACCTTACAAGAGCTTCAGAAATTCACCGTGCTGTCTCTTTCATTTTTCCACCATATGAGGCCTAATTGTGTCCTGGTCCTGTTAGCTAGAGCTAGATGTGCAGTCTTTCTACCTTCTCCATTTAAGTGTCACGGTTGGGTCACAACAAGTGCAGAAGGTGCTGTTAGAGCCCAGTGGATGAGTCATAGATGCACACACAGCTGTGATGGTGGCATGTTTTGCAACCAGCTGTTTCTGCTGTAAACCTGAAGCTGAGGGGTCAGAGACATTTGAAAGAGCACTGCCGGCACTACCAGCTTCCACATTCAGTCAGCTGAGACGCGCTAAACAATAGAACAGCCACACAAAGCAGCTAATAGTTTTCAGCAAGAGAAAACAAAGTGCTTTCAGGTATGCTCCTAGCAGGCATTTCCTGATTTCCATTTGATTCACATCACAACAAAAAGCCTTTTCACAGAAATACATGCACACGTCAACCTTCACCGACACAAAGCTTCCATCAAACCCACATAACTGGGCTTCTCCATTCTCACTGCAGTATCTGATATAATAAGGATCTAAAGCCACACCATTTAAAAACATACTCTCACAATGGGTTTATACAGTATTCAGACATCTAAAATTCCCCCTCCTCCCACCAGTGCAGCTACACATACTGTACTCACCCACCCCACCATCCTGCACACCCGCCTTCACCCTCCTCCGACAAGCAGAAAGGCCACAATGAATTCTTGTCATCCATGTGAGTTAATTACAATGACTGCACATGCACTGCTAGTGATGTGTAATTATCAGCAACTCGGCAAATGAAGGCCTGTGTTTTTGTCACTCAAAATAAAATAGCTAGGCTTAGATCAGGGCTAATCCACAGAACATGGAAAGGAACATGTCATTTCCATTCTAGTGTTTCGTGTGTGCACACATGCCTGCAAGTGTTTCTTCTGAATAAAGCGGCCAACATGATTGAAATGCTTGAGACCTACAGGACTGCATAAATGGCACATAACAGGCGAGGGATGAGATAGAGAAAAGCTATTTGTCTTTTGATACTATGAATCCTAACTAAGAGATAAAGCCAGCCACTTACTTTGCCTTTCAAAGTTAGAGCATTTGAATTTCCTGCAGACCAGAGCAGGAAGCACTATTGCAACTGTGTTGTCGGTATAGTGAGGGCTGGATCGGAGAGGCAAGGCATGGGCAGAGCCAAGGGGCAAATCTGATTAGCTACCCCCTTGGTGCCACCCATGCCGGAATCAAAATGTGATGTTTGTCGGTATTAACCTTTGGCATATATATAATGGATGCAACCTGATTCTGCCCAGTGGAGACCAGCGGTCATGTCCCCAGCTGGAAGTAAATAAGGAGTGTAGCCAAGGTTAGCTAAAGAAAACACAACGTGCATCTCGTTTTAACACAAAACAAAAGAAAAGTCTAAACATGGCTTCTTATTTCATATAACTAGGAGTTTAATACTTTTTACACATACAGTATTTCAAATGTGCCACCCCTCTCTGAGTCTGTGCCCCAGACTGGCCACTCTGTCCAAAATTTTCTAGATCCACCCCTGAGAAGAGGAGAGGAGGGAGAGCACTGAGAGTGACTGAGAGTGACTGAGCCCTGCCTTTCAGCGCCTTGATTGCTGTATGGTTGAAAAATCTTTTCATGTTGTCACACAGAACTGGTTCAGGGGAGACACAAGCTTGTCCTGCCTGCACAAACACTCACACAAACTCCCAGCACCTTGAATAATCAACGCAGAAGGAGATACCAACGGCCCAAATGTGTTCTAAGCATCTCTCACCCACCCACCTACCCAGCATGGGCTCCAACACACACGAGCTGCTCATCGCATCTGTTCACAAGACGCCCTCGCCAAAGAAAGAAAACAGTCTGCAACTCCCTCCTGAAACAAGAGTCCTGTCGGCTCATCAGGGAAGTTAAGTACAAAAGCTCTAAGTGGACCTCAAACAGTGAAGTGCAACCTTTAAACTCACTGACTAAGCTAAACAATACAAAGTGGAGCTCGGACATGTGAGTAATAAAACTACAACAGTATCACAACGGGCCTTAAATTTAAAGACAAAACTATTCACACCTTTAAGTGCATGCATCTATGACAACACTTGGATAGTCACCACAGCACTGCCATGACTGAATACTGTTTATGAACATATGATATATGTATATTTGTTAAACACAGGTTTAACGCTCATTAATTCCACTGTGTTCTGGTTTAGACCCATCAGGTGAACATGTGGCTTCACCTCTTCTTGTGCACACAGGTGCAGAGGATATCTTCTAAATACATTTGGCCTTTTCACCTTCCATCACTCCAGACACATTCAACAGACTAGCCCTTTAATTTATTAGGCAGAGTAAAAAAGGTAAAAGCCTAAAGTTTCATCCTATAGAAAATTCCAACACTGGCCTTATACTCTATGAACCAACAGTTTACATGAGGCAGACTAGCAGCAGTGAACTGATCATCATGAGGATCTCATCTGTTAGCTACTCACGGGTGCCATCGAAGCGTGTGGCAATGGTGTCCAGGAAGGTGTTTTGTGGGGCCAGCAGCCCTCTCATCACCGGCATCCTGCTCCGGGTCGACTGGGTCCTCCTGCCTCGCCGCCCTGGGGCAGCGCTTGACTCCTGCTCAGACCCAAAACTAGGCAGGAAGCGAGAGGTGCCCGGTGCGCATCCCAGCCCCTGGAGAAGCGCACCGATCCGAGATACACGCGGTGGCTCCACCTTGACACCGCGGGGGTTGTGACCATAATCAACTCAGCAGAGAGCGAGTACTAGCCGTGGGGATGCACCTGTGCACCTTCCAACGGGGAAAACACGGGAACGGATGCTCACAAAAGCAAGTGCGCTAGAGACAGATGAGGATGGATGGATATACTGCAAGTTTTGGTGCTGAGGGTGCGTGAGTGAATCTTATAGCACCAAGCTCCTCCTCATCTCCCTCTGTTGTCACAATTGAGAGCAGATGCAGAGTCACGTGACGCCTCACGGTCTTGCCAAGCTATGGTCCTGTTGTAAAGTGGAGGTGGGAGACAACAAAGAGGTGATGGTGTGGAAGCCAGTGACCTTCCGCCTGAGCTCTGGTCTGGCTTCAGTGTAGAGACAAAAGTAGATCCAGTAGCCGTTGGTTCGACAGCGTCTTCAGTCGCTGTTTGCAAGAAACACGACCAGCGTCTTGACAAATTACTATTCACAGACTAGATAACACATAAGACCCCTGCGCCTTTCTGCATGTTAGTGTTTTTAATTTTATGCTTTAAGTAATTAGGTATTAGGTAGGAGGAACCATACAGACCATTTTAATCGATTTTAAGAGTTTACAAGAGGCCTATAAAATATAATAAAAACTCCTCGGCTGCTTCTCCTCAGGGCCACATGGCTCCATGCAGGTGGAGAGAACAAAAAGCCGCCGTCCTCAGTGCACAGTGAAGGTCTGCCATCTGCTGGACACACAGCGCAAGTGCGGGTTTCCCCAACAGCCTAAGAATGATCTTATAAATCTTTGTCCACATTTCAAATGGATTACATCGCATTTTAAAGTACAACGTGAAGTTTATCCGTGCATCAAAAACCTGACTGCAATAAAAGTACAGTCATTTTAAACATTAACGGCAGTGAAGTCTTTGGACTTACAAAATGTTTTATTTAAAAATGGGAAAAAATACACAGTGTTTATTGTTTGGGGTTACAGTAGTTCATGATTTTAGGCCATTAATTTGTCTAAAAAGATCATGTTTATATAATACTATTTCTGGAATGCACATCCCCTGGTCTGTGATAACAAGTTTGCAGTTCATAGGTGTGTTTACGTCAAACAGCCTCCAGGCTATTTAGTGTAGCATCTTACAGTTTATGGTTAACTGGATGAGTTGCACCTTCCTTTTGTAAGCATGGAGACAAGCTGACTGTGCAGGACAGAAGTCACTGTCACCATCCAGGCAAGGAACTTCAGGACATTTTCAATTGGTATCAGATAACAGAGACATGGTACTCAGTATTTAATGTTCAACCATGTGCTTGCATTAATGGTTCCCCTGCAGACAGCTGAGCTGAGGGTGATTTGTTTGCTGGAAGGTAGTGATGTCCAAATGAAGTAATGAACCAGTATCGAACCACTTCATCAATTGTATCGAACATTGGTTCATTCATTCAAAGGTTAGTTTCAGTGACATCTAGTGGTGAAATAGGAGACAGCAAAACAATGTCTGAATTAAGTGAATGCCCCATGATGGTGATCAAACAAAGGCAGCAAAGATAATAATGACAGCAACTATGCACACACCTACTATGACGGCAAACCCACATGTTGTGTGTCATTTTGGGTGGCTTTATAGTGCTTTTACATGAGATAATAATGACAGCAACTATGCACACACCTACTATGACAACAAACCCACATGTTGTGTGTCATTTTTGGGTGGCTTTATAGTGCTTTTACATGCCTACGAGCCGGCTGACGCACGCAGCAAGGTCTCCTGTTATGAAGCAGTATGGACTATTTGAACCAGTCCTCTTTGAGTTTGATAGGAGCCTCGGTGTCAGACGGCCATCACTAGTGGAAGGCAGTTTTGTATAATCTTTTCTTTATTGTAAATGTGAAGGTCTGTATGTACACAACTCACGGACACGTTTCAGACAAACAAAGCACATCAAATTTGACCTATTAGACACAACACAACCACAAACACTGCCACTGGCTGATGTTTTCTGTACTTCATGGTGTCAAATAATTCCCCCCTGGACTTTATGTTCTCTGGTCAACTAGAGATTCTCCATCCACGTCCTTTTTTATGGGCTTTATTTCCATCACGCTGAGCAGCTGATTTTCAACCAAATTTCCAGAAATCTACTTTCCATTGATGTCAGCTACATATTTTCACAAGCTAGGCTACAGTTCTTCATGCTATCATTTGCAAAAGTGGGAACTTTCCAACTCTCGTTTAATTTGAATGATGCCCTTAAACTATGAAAACAAAGTACTGAGAAGTAGTTTCTGCTTCGGACGTCATCAGTCACGTGTCTTTTTCAGTAACAAAGCAGGCTTTGAAGCAGTGGTTTGCAGAAAATGCCTCTTTGAGTTTGATGCTTGTATAGGAGCCTCGGTGTCAGACGGCCATCACTAGTGGAAGGCAGTTTTGTATAATCTTTTCTTTATTGTAAATGTGAAGGTCTGTATGTACACAACTCACAGACGCGTTTCAGACAAACAAAGCACATCAAATTTGACCTATTAGACACAACACAACCACAAACACTGCCACTGGCTGATGTTTTCTGTACTTCATGGTGTCAAATAATTCCCCCCTGGACTTTATGTTCTCTGGTCAACTAGAGATTCTCCATCCACGTCCTTTTTTATGGGCTTTATTTCCATCACGCTGAGCAGCTGATTTTCAACCAAATTTCCAGAAATCTACTTTCCATTGATGTCAGCTACATATTTTCACAAGCTAGGCTACAGTTCTTCATGCTATCATTTGCAAAAGTGGGAACTTTCCAACTCTCGTTTAATTTGAATGATGCCCTTAAACTATGAAAACAAAGTACTGTATTCCGGTTACCCCCCCCCCCAAATTCCCATTCCAAGTACTGTATTCCGGTTCCCCCCCCCCCAATGTTCAGTTTCAAGCTGAAATAATGTCACTAATCGAGGAGTTCATCTCACCTAACTTAATCTGACGTCATTCCCTCTCCAACAACGCAGTACCATCTTTGACCACACGACTCTGTGGTATCACACATAGCATTTTGAGGGGGCGCTGTTGTACTGGACAGATTTAATTTTTTACTTGTTTTCCGTTTTATTAAAGGAGTTTTATATCTTATATCACAATATATTGAATGCTGCTCACTGCTTTTATTTGGTCATTCAAACTATGAAAAAACAATGACTACTGCAAATAGTAAGATATTAACCAGGTGTCAAAAACACTTTCAGTCTAGCGCCTATGTAGAGAGAAGTGTGGGGCCTTTAAATGTTAGTACCACTGTTTTATAATTCGAGCGCGAGAAGACTATGGTATAGTACAAAATGAAGCAAAATCATGTATTACAACATATAATGGAGTGCCCTGTTGGAGTGTGGGGAAAGGGGCGTTCCAGAAAACCATTTTTAAATGATATTACACGTCTCTACTCATCACGGAAACGAACAATATCCTCTCGACCAATCAGTAAGCCACATTCTCAGTCCCGCCCTATAAAAACACGCCTCTTCTACTGTGGGCTTATCTGATTGACTGTTAGGGTTTCTTCTCTTCTCTGATTGGTCGATATCTTGAACGTGAGCTCAGCATAACTGTCGCCTTTCTGACAGTAGGAGCATTTTCCAGTCCATTTAAATCTATTGAATGATTCAAGACAGCAGCCCCTTTCCTCATCTTGCAGTTGTTTGTGTTGTGGACCTTTAAACGAAATAAGGTAGGAGCTCGTGACATGTAATGAAAATGTGTTTACTGCCGACCGAAGTAGTGTTAACGAACCATGGTCCTGTTAGCATAGCCAGGCTAGAGACCGGTGAATAAACTCAGCTACTGCTACAAAGGATTTATATTTGTGTTCAACAAAATGGGATTGAGACAAATCAATGCTGAGACTTAATCCAATTAAAACTGCATGTTGGTCGATCAAATGGAAGGTAGTCATTCAGGCCCCAAGTCTTTGCAAGCGCCTTCCTCTTTTCATGTTTATATTACTCTCACTTACTAGGACATTTATAAAACTGCAAAACTAGCTGCCATGTTTGCGTTGGTTTCCTTTGGCTGTGAGCAATCCCCTCCCCAACATGCGATGAGATCCACCAAACTGTCCACAATAGTTAGGGCCACTAACTTTTGTGGAACTCTACCATAAAGCTGTGGAATCAACTGTGGTTGTATGTTTTGAAGAGAGTGGACCTTGGTGGTTGAAAAGAATTATAGAGCTGATCAGCTGGAGCAGTGCTGAGTCACTGCTCTGACTACTCCTAGTTTTATGTTTGCAATAAAGTCATTCATTGAGGAGACTGTAGTATAGTGTCACATAGAGAGAGCACTGCAACTCTCACATGTGAGAAGCAGGAAAAAAATTTACAGTGATAGGACATTGATGTATTTTAAAATGTTCTATCTTTACCTCATCTTTCGTTTGTCTCTCTTTTTAACATAATTTATGTCTTTGTGTCCAGCACCAGGCTCTAAGATGTCTCAGAAGATCAAGGCTGGGTCTGTGGTGGAGATGCAGGGAGATGAAATGACTCGGATCATCTGGGAGCTCATCAAGGAGAAACTCATCTTTCCGTACCTGGAACTTGATCTGCACAGGTGAAGACACCTCATTGGAAAGTGTTGGACTTTCTTTTACCACTTACTCTTAGGTCTAGAAAAACATGTGAGCAGATTATGCCTTCAGATATGCATGTTGCAGTTGAATTTGTAATGCGTTCCTTCATACACTGTGGTAGCTTATGCAGCAGGGACATCTAGCTGAGCCTGAATGAAAAAGTGAGACTTCCTGCTGTACTGGGATTTCTAGTTTGGCCTGTTTACACTGGCTTCTCACCGTGGAGAGAGTCCAATGCAAAAACCTCATAAATATAGAGAGTCTATCTACAGCCTTCTCCTTGTAGGTCCAGTGTGTAGTTGTATAAGGTTAAAGATTGTTATGCTGCAATCTTCATTAATATATGCCATTGTTTTTTGAGTTGACTGCATCCACGGCGACGACTTCAAATGTCTTGCTTTGCCTGAGCGACAGAAAAGCAAAAAATGTTTACGTTTTGGATGAAAAATGACATAATTATTCAGTTGAAATAGCTGTGTATTTTTCTGACAGTTGCTTTTCCAACCTAATTTAGTCTTTTATTTATTTTTTTTGTCTGAGACATGACCTTAGAGGTCATCAGTCAAATACTATTTTAGTGAATATTGTTGAGTTAGCACCCTGACTCATCTAACCTCGCTCCTTTTCTTATCTCTTTCATGGCCTTGGCTCCTGGGGTCGGGTAGCGAGAAAGTGGGCAAAAGGTTGTGGCTGCTTTCAAACAAAGCTTAGGAGCTGAAAGCACACAGGCTAATACCTGAAGGGAATGATAAGTACCTGGAGCTTAGTCTAGTTTCAGGTGTCTCACTGGTTTGTTTCCTCATGTGGAACAACATGAAATCCTGTGGTCATTGTTTTCTTGGCTGGGTCTGTAGATCTCATCACTGTGTCGAGTAACATAAGAGAGGAACAGGGTGAGCACAGCTTACTGTGGAACAAGCGGGATGGGGGGGGGTTGATGTGAGTATTATATCAGGTCCTGCATAAAATATAATCAGTTGAGATATAGTGTGAATAAAACTAGCAGCTCACACCATTTCTCTACTCGGTGTCATTCGTGTTCTTTGACACAGTGATTGTTTTACACATCACAGGCGTCTGTGGCTGCTAGCCAATTAAAGCGCCAGCATATGATCACTACTTGTGCTTTGTTAGTTTGTACACTGAAGCATAAATAGTCACAGCTCTTCTTCTTGAAACAGCTGTTTTTGTGGTGTCCCATGCCTCAGCTGTTCAGATTCTAAATGGTCCGTTCATTTTCTTCCTTACATCTCTACTTACTCTCATACTTAGAAGCACAAATATCCACATTTATGTATATGATGTATCTTTGACCGAAGTAATTGTACTAGTACATACATCAACATGCCTGCATGTTTCCACGACATCACTGATGCATGCATTAGTTTCTCTCTGGTGCTATTAATACAGGCCTTATTCTGTCTCTTCCTGCAAAGCTATGACCTTAGTATAGAGAACCGAGATGCAACAGATGACCGGGTGACTGTGGAGGCGGCGGAGGCAGTCTGTCGTTACAATGTGGGCATCAAGTGTGCCACTATTACGCCTGATGAGAAACGAGTTGAGGAGTTCAAGCTTAAGCAGATGTGGCGCTCGCCCAACGGCACCATCCGGAACATCCTGGGTGGCACAGTGTTCAGGGAGGCCATTATCTGTAAGAACATCCCCCGCCTGGTGCCCGGCTGGATCAAGCCCATCATCATTGGCAGGCATGCCCATGGAGACCAGGTATCCTCAGGGTCACAGAAGGGATTTCAGCTTGTTTCTGTTTACTGAAAAAAATCAGGTTGGGGTTAGAAAGATGAGAGGTTTCCTCAAATCAATCTGCCCGTTAGATGCTGCGAAGTCAGGCTGAGCCAGACTGGGTAAACCTCATTAGGTTCATTAGCTGTTGTGTTGTATAAGATTGTCTCAGAAGTTTCAGAAGTTCCGATATGGTTTGTTTCATTATATAAAAGCTGAATACAGATGTTTGCAGCTTAAAATTTGGTCTAGAATTTAATTACCATCCACAAATTCTCATGCAAACTGGGTGTTGTTCTTGCATATGAGGCTGAAACAAAGCTGGTATGAAGGAAACTAAAACTGCAGGCCTGTAGCAACTCTTAACAGAACAGCAGCATTTATGCCAACTCCTGTGTTTATCCTCTGTCTGACAAAACTGCTATTACTGAGGCAAGACCATTTCCAGCAGACCTCGGTGATAAACTGACTGCTCGCCTTCCGTCAGCTCCTCTGCGAGCTCAGTGAGCGGGCAGTTGTTTCAGATATGGTTGTCAGGAGAGAATCTGTTAATTATTATGATTCCCCATCTGTCCTTTGGACCATAATGCACTGCCTGTCCAGCCTAGACAAGTTGCACACAGAATGACATAGGCTGGCCTGTGGCACTTGACCAGAGTCAACTCTGAGCTAGTTACATAATATCCCAGGGATGTCAGAGGGATGCTGGAATATACTCTGCTGGCACACTGCGCCACCTAGTGGTGACTAGCTAGGCCTGCAGAGGTGTTTATTTGAACTTTGGTCAGACATCATTTTAAAAGCTGTGCCTAACAGTTGTCATTCAGGGGGGTCAAACAGCCATGTCGCTTTCTATTATTAACCCCTTGTCTTTCACATTGTGCCCCCCCACAGTACAAAGCCACAGACTTTGTGGTTCCCGGGCCGGGGAAAGTGGAAATGACCTACACACCCATAAACGGAGAGCCAGTTAAATTTGTTGTCCATAAGTTTGAGGGTAAGAACACAGTCAAGCTGCAGACACTGCACCACATGTAAACCTCAGCTCATTCAAGCCAGGTAGTAGAGGGTCAGGAAAGATACTCAACCACATGTAGTATCATAGGTACAGATATCTCGGATGTGCAGTCAGTATAACTAATCTGGACTGGCACGTCTGAAAAGCCTTTCTAAGCACATTTCCCATTGTGTTCACCCTGTAAATGTTTGATTTAAAGTGGTAAAGCCAGAACGGGTAGACAGTTATAACAGAAAGAAATACTGAGCAGACGTGAAAAGATTGAGTAGTAACAGCCATATTTCTAAAGGCTCTTCTCAGTTTGTCTACATTTAACAAAAACATTAACAGACCTGCACTAACAAAGTTTCACATACTATCTTTGTGCATCTGTATGTGAGGCTATTGCACATATGTGAATGTACTATACATGTCTGTCCAGGCACAGGCGGTGTAGCCTTGGGTATGTACAACACAGATAAGTCCATCACGGACTTTGCCCACAGCTCCTTCCAGAAGGCTTTGTCCAAATGCTGGCCTCTCTACCTCAGCACCAAGAACACTGTCCTGAAAAAGTATGACGGTCGCTTCAAAGACATCTTCCAGGAGATCTACGAGAAGTAAGGACCAGCACACACAGTTACACATGCACCGTCCTTTCCTTTGTTTCACAACCACAAGTTCATTCACTCATATGCCAGATGTTTAGAGGTGTTGTCTGTACTCGTGTGTGTGTCCCAGAGAATACCGTTCTCAGTTTGAGGCCAAAGGCATCTGGTACGAGCATCGTCTGATAGATGACATGGTGGCCCAGGTCATGAAATCTGAGGGAGGCTTCATCTGGGCCTGTAAGAACTACGATGGAGACGTACAGTCTGACTGTGTAGCACAAGGTTGGACACTAATAACCTGACCATCACAAAAGACTAGTGGAATAAAAACCGTTTTTTTCCAGATGTTAATGTGACTTTGCGTGACCTGTCCTAGGCTACGGCTCTCTGGGTATGATGAGCAGTGAGCTGGTTTGTCCTGATGGACGCACTATGGAGGCTGAGGCCGCCCACGGCACAGTCACCCGCCACTACAGACTACACCAGCAGGGAAAAGAGACCTCCACCAATCCCATAGGTTTGAAAATAGTGCACAGACCTGAGCTTTCAGCAACATAACCCTAAAAAACTAGGGCTCTGGTAAAGTTATCTTACATATGCTGCTTGTAATATGTGTGGATTCATTCACTGATGTGTGTGTTTGGTACAGCCTCCATCTTTGCCTGGACACGTGGTCTGCTCCACCGGGCCAAACTGGACAACAACACGAAGCTGCAAGTGTTCTCGGAGGCGCTGGAGGCCGTCTGCATCGAGACCATCGAGGCTGGTTTCATGACCAAGGACCTGGCTATCTGTATCAAAGGAATGCCAAAGTTAGTCACCCAAATTAAAGGGTCAACATCCAACTCAGAATCAATTATTGTTCCAGTGTACAGCTATGTAATGTGACAGTGTTTAAATCGGATTAATCTGACACCTGCTAAGGCGAGTCTGACAGATTAATCTCATCTATTGGGATGAAATGATGTAGGCAGCGGTCTCACACAAACATGGCCTTCATTGTATGAGATGGTACGTCTGCTCCAGTAGCACAGACAGCGCCAACTTCAGTAAAGATGGCCTGTCCACATTAACAACAGTTTGCTTATATAACACGGACGTACAAAACAAGAAAACTACAGTTTAACACTAGTCGACTATCCCACAACAAGCTTCAGTTGCTAAGTAAAACTTGAATTCTGACTGAATGCTGCTAGAGGGGTCGAGTTTACCACAACTCTGTGATTACTGTCTTGTCCTTTGTCCCCATAATGTGCAGCATTTTAATTCAGTTGTCATCCCGGCTTAGATGACAACATTCTTAGGCACTGATCTATAGGGAACGGAAACCGTCCAGTATACTTAGCCCTTCCTTTGTTCTCTGTTTGCAGTGTGACACGAGCGGACTACTTGAACACTTTTGAGTTCCTGGACAAACTAGCAGAGAATCTGAAGATGAAGCTAGCGAGCCATCCCAAACTGTGATGTCTACTTGCAGCCTCTGCAACTAAACACCAACACACACATTCTAACTCATGCTCATGCACACAGACACCCACACAGCTCCTGGAGTTAAAGCTGGAAGAGGGAGGAGCGTGCCCAGGACTCCAGGAGCTCTACAGACTGAAATCAAGCCCTTCCCTGGCTGAACTGGAGGTCGATTGACCTGATGGCTCAGTGACCTTGTTTACTTTACTTGTACTAGGTCCCCTGAGGTGAGTGTGGTGCCAGTTGTCAGTGATCTGCATTAAACAGGACAGAATTAGTCTGCGGGAGCCTCTAGACCCTCCCTGCCTCTTTGAGTGGGACATCGGTCCGGTCAGTTCTGGTCACTTCCTATGTCATGTAATGTTTTAACAATACCTCAGGCTACACTATGTTTTAGTGGTAGTTAAAAGCCAGAGCAGTAGCACTGTCAGCCTGTACTTCCCTAACGAAACCCCAGCATGGTAGAAGACCATGCATACCATGAAATTTTACTGTTCTGCACGATGAAACACAAAATATGAACTGATATTTGTAGCGGTCAAACAAGGGTTCGGCTCTTTGTAACCAAATGCATTAAGATTACTGTAGGCTGCTTTTAGAGTTTATACCTTACTTTTCACATTCACTAAAGGTGTATTTATGTCTGTCCTTTGTGTCTGTGTGTATTTTAACATCCAGTATGTCAGTGTTTGTCCATCTGTTGGTTTATAATAAGCGTTGTGCTTATTAATTCTTCATATAATGGATAATAAATGAATTTTTGAAAAACAATAGGTGTCATTCTCTGTGTTTTCAGGTTAAATAACAAGGCCTTGTCTGTCACTTAGCAGTATCACAGAACAGTGAGATAAGGACACTCAGGGAGGAAGATAAGAATTAAAGTTGGTCAGCATTTATAACAGATTCATATTGTTAACATTAAATTACTTGAACTTCTTAATCAGAAAAAAGTCTACTGCATCTGTTAAACTACTCAGAGATTAGTCCTGGTAAGACTGAAGTAAAGGGGTACAAAATACACTGCCAGGCCACTTTATTAGGTACAATTGTATGCACTTCAATGCAACATTTCCGCCTTAACTCCGTGTTTATGAAGCTCAAATGTTTCAGTTTTTGGTGAAATTGTCATAAATGTATAAATTCAATTCTACGGTTATTACTGAGGACTTAGTTAAAGGTGGTGTTGAACTGGACTACATTATATTCAGAGGTGTTCCTACTATTCTGACCCTCTCATTTATGTAGCTGGGGAGGACAAAAAGACGTTTTCCAGCAGATGGCGCTATTGCATTGGAGCCCTCCCACTTTGCTGGATTTGGAAAAGTAATAACACACTGTGGCAGTGGATGACTCACACCCTGTATTATACATGAAGAGGGAAACTGCACTAAGAATAGAACCAAAACAGGAGCTTCTCTTGCAGTCACACGTCCTTCCTGTCTGAGCCTGTCAGTGTCTGGATCATGGATCCTCCTCACCACGACCCAGGAAACCACCTGAGCTCCACTTCACATTCAGCTGGAAATGATCAAACAGCTGACAATCCAGCACCTGACCATGGAAACCCACCAGCGCCAGGCAGACAGCCACAGTAGTAAGTAACAGGTTCTGCTGAAACTTTATCTAAAGTCTGTCCACAGTCTTCACATGAACAGGTCGTGTCGCTTCTTTATAATGATACCGAAGAGACAGGTTGGAGTCTTTAAAGCTCCAGCGAAAGCAACATTCATTTTACTGGCGTTATATTGTATTATTTAGCTCAGATGTTTGTTTGGGCAGCGCTTAATTACTGAGGTTCACTTTCACTTTCGTTTCATGTGACTAGAAAGAGTAAACGAAACGGCGCCTTCACTCCTTCCCTAACTCCTTACTCCTTATGTCAGCTAAGCCAAAATAAGCAGAAAGCAGTGTCTGTGCCAAAAGTGCTCGTGTGCTGCCAAAATGGGGGGAAAAAAATAATTTTAATCAACAAAAAATCCATTACTGGGACTTTAAAACTAACATTTGCCCAGCACCCATTATCAGTACTGTTACTGTCTAAACTATGCTGCTCATTTTTAGCATTTCAACAATTTGTCATTCCTTCCTGTGTTTACTCTGTTGCATTTACTTTTAAATTTCCTAACTGTTGATGAATAAAGTTATTTGAACTGAACTTTGTCACTGTACACACCACTAAACACACTTTGTCACACCAAGGCAGCATCATGCTTAGATTATTATGTTGGTGGAGCACATTTTAACAGCTTTCTATGCAGATGTGTAGTTTCTTCTGTAGCAGTATCACATTATTTAAAATAATATTTTTTTCACACTGAATCCCAAGTTTGAGAAGCTTGAATGTCTTAAGGTCAGGACTATAACAAAAGCCTGCTAACTGAACTAAGACACGTTGTGACATGGAGTGGTTATGGTTCCAACCTGTTTTTCACATTTGCTGCTGCAGCACATTTGATTAGTACTCAGGTTTTACAGTGTCCACGGCCCAGCTAGTTGCTAATAAGCTCTTTGTGTCTCTGGCCTTGTCTCAGCTCCGGTGCATACACCATGTTCCCACCAAAAGAATCTTTGCGAAGGGAGATCCAAATGGGTAGGCTGCCGCTGATATCCTACCTGAGTTATTCTGATCTTCATACATGTTTTCCCTGAGAAATAAAGGCTTTTGTTATTGCAGTGGCTCGACAAGAAGAGGAGGCTCTTCAGAGGCTGAAGGAAACACGCCAAGTCCCCTCTGTGCACCTGAATCCAGAGAGGCTGGGTCAGCAACTCACAAAGCATCAGTCACATCTGAGCAACAGAATGTTTTACTATCATGCTTTCTTACTGATGTGGTGTAACCTGTTGTCTAATTTATGAAGGTGGCGAAGTGACATTGGCTGAAGCCCGAGCGAAGCAGTCCTTGGACCAGCGTTGCTCCAGACTGCAGAAGAAGGTACGTTCACCTGTTTAAATCACATGCGGCTTTAAACATATGTAAATATTTGAGAGTAAAGAATTCGTGTAAACAGTTTTCCAATCTTCGATCTTCTGTGGTCTGTGGAATATGGAAAGTGCCGTGTATTAAAACATACCATGATTGAGAAGTAAAATGTGTTCTTGCAGCTCTCTTTTCTGTGGCTGAATCATAAAGCTATATTTAATGTGACCCTGTTGTTTTAAGCTAAAAAAGGAAGATCTGGACAAGAGAAGGAGACAAGAGGAGGAGGAGAAGCTACAACAGTGGAAAGCCGCACAGAGGGAGAAGGTGAGACCATATAATCGTAGGTGCTTTTAGCAAACACATTTCCATGTGTTTAGTTGAGCTTTAAAAAAACACAAAGCAATAAAACCTAAGAAACACCACAATTTAAACACATTTTCATATGATTAAACCGCCTTTGGGGAGTTATTTTACACTGAAGTGATAACTGACTAGTTTGGCGCCTTTTCTGTCCCTCAGCTTCTCTAAGCTGTTTATTTCAGTCAGCACAGTAATTTCCTGTACATCCCAGAGTGCATTTTGACAAACCCCAGAGTCCCGTGTGAGGAATGTACTGCGCTCAGCCACGGGCTGAGAGAGTAGGTGGAAAGAAAAGCAGCTGCAATAGTAAGAGTAGGAGAATTTTCCACTGAAGAGTTGTACCACTCACTCAGAATATGGCACCACTTGTGGTGACACTGGTCTGAGTTCAGTCCTGGTTCTGCTATGGATCTGATGGTTTGCCAGTCAGAACAGTGGCTGCAGAGGTGCAAATGAAAAACTG